AGCAATATGTTTCAACAAAGGATTTGGCTTCTGCTGATGGAAACATTAGTTCATGGTTAGAAGAATGCAATACTAAACCTCTTTTTTTTAATCAATAAGATAAAATACCTTAAGTTATATAAGATAATAAGATATGATCATACCAATCTCAACTTAATAAAATAAAACAGATGTTTAGGGGTTACAAGGCATTCAAACCAGATTTTTGACCTTTCATCTTTGAAATACGCAGAGAAGCACATATTGCGTCTTTTGTATTTTTCGCAGTCTGTGTAAAGCTGAATTGAACCTTAGCACATCTATCCATCAACTACATTCAACTTACGTATTATGCATATTTTTATTCTAGCATTCATATATTTCCTTCACGATTTTAAACCAAATATTACACTATATACTGCTAAAAGTATTATGACTAATTGATAAGTCTATACTTCCTCAGAGCCTTACTAAAATAATTCCAGTACTCCAGATTTCAGGTAGCAGAGATAGGTAAACTACCAGACATTTAACTGGGTACATAATAACAACATGAATATCTAAATGCATTTCAAAAATATGAATGGTGACAACATAACAAGAAGTCATCAATAGGGAGTTAAATATTTTTCTTGTTGATACTGTCATAAGTTAACATGTCCAAAAATATCCATCATTCCTCAACTTAACTAACTTGCTTGTTATTATTGGTAAAATATTGGTTAAAAACATGGTATTATTACCATGTTTTTCAAAGATGGATCCTTTTGCATGGGATCACTGAAAACTTCCAATCTCAAGATGATGATGATTACCTGCTGTGTTTCTCATCTACTTACCTACATATTTTAGGGGCTTTTATTTATCAGCATCCTCTGACATCACAATGTCACCCAAGGAAGAGAGATCATCGTTGTTTTTCATTGAAACATTATTAAAAAATACTTATGCACACTAGTAACAGTGGCCATTCTTCAAATTAGTCTTTTTTTCTAACTTTCTTAATCACACCATAGCAAAGCATTTTTTTCCAGAAATCACCACTAAGATTTCCTACAGCTTTAGCGTACTGGCTTTATTTTTCTAAATTCTTTAATGTGATGAATGGTTTTGAACACATATTATCCTTTCAAAATATTGATTAAATAACCTAAATAACATCAGGAACTGAATTGCATAGAAAAACTTAAATAGAAAAGAATACATGAGTTGGGGGAAAAAATCGTATATGCTAAGAAAGCTTAAGCTGTAGCTTACCGGTCATAGTCTCCATTACACAGTGCTCTGACAGAAATCTTGAATGCCTGCCACACTGGGTTTAATGTATTTTTTACAACTTCTGTTTTGTGGCAAATTGTAAAACTGTAATAAAAAAGATATATCTTGTATTTATTTACTTGTTCTTTTATGTCATCAAACATGGAATCAAAAGAGCTGTAATCTGTATTCACTCATACAATGTCCACATAAAATTTAAGATAAGAAAAAAAGAAATGCAGTGAAATCAGAGAGAAGGGAGGACTGAAGAGGACAGACCTGTTCAAGAGAGATTACAGACTAGGGTGCTAAATAACTCTATACCTAAAATGTTTTTACCTCAGCCTTCGACAAGAATTGCAACCACTCAGTGAGTTATTTCAGGCGAGAGCAGTCTCCATCTCTATTGTTTAAATAGGCCTTGCACAGCCAAGAATCAGTCACAGTTCCAGAAAGCAAGCAGTCTGGTAAGGATCTGACACTTGCTTAAGGTTAAGAAACTGAGCCAACGGAGTCATGGCTTTCTGATGCTTGTTCCCCATTTTATGTCTATGATTTCTTAACCAGGGCTGCCTCAGGTAAAACATATAAGCCTCTGTGAGATCGCATGATCACCTCCTCTCAGGTGAAATACAATGAATTGTTTTAATGCATTCTGCTTTCTCTAAATGATGCAAAATTAAAATACTTCTTTTGAATCTTCATCTGGGGGACTGAATCATTCGAAAGAAAATAAGAGGCAAGGTCACTGGTGAAATCGCTACTGAAATTCTACATACAGATGTAACTGAAGTTGTCCTTTGAGGGACTATCTTCCTTACGTTCCAAAGGGATATGTTTTTATCCTGGCTATGATTCAGAAGGCATGCCTGAAGCTAAGAGACAGAAAAGGGAGCATCCTCCTGCCCACAGGTGCAAAAGTACTGCCCCAAACTCCTGTTGGATTCAGGAGACCACTAAAGAATCAGTGGCTCACCACTCACCTCTTGGAAGGAAGTGGAGAAGCATGGCTCTCAAGGCCAAGAAAAAATGCATATACCAGCACTCCTAGTAACACCCCGAGAAATTCCACTAATGACCTTAATGCCACTCACAAAGGAGCCATAACTCCTCCAGGCTTGCAATTTCAGATACTCAGTGTTTACTCAGGAAGCTGTTCCTATAGTATGCCACTGAGAGCAAAAGAGCAGGGAACAGACACACATATAGGCATAGATAGGTTTATGTTAATAACTGTTCCAGCAAAGCTACTGAAACAAGTAGTATCATACATGTCTAGCCTGTGTTTTGATACAATGTTGTATGTGAGGACTATTAGCTTCCAAGAAAACTTAACCTGCCAGTAGACCCCCACATAAGCAGCATGTTGACCGGAAGTTACCATGTCAAGTCTTAGCAGTAGAACAGGAGATTAGCCTACTTTAACAAATTAAAGAATGAATGTAGCAAACAGCCACATGATTTAAAAAAAAAAAAAAAATAAAAAAATTATTTAAGGTATTTTCAAATTCTGTTTCCTAGAACTTGGTCAAAAACACAAAAGATATTTCCAAATTCACAGTATAAAATGTTTTTACAGAAAAACAATTTCTAAGCATTAGCATATTCTTTGAGAATTCTATTTAATTAAAGGCACACTACATCTTAACAAAAGTAATGCTATTAAACTATTTTTATTACAATTAATTTTCATAGTGCTCTATATCTGTCACACATTCAACTCTTAAAACCTTGTATTTGATCTTTTTGATACAATAGTTTTATTACTATACTGCATAACATGATATACTTAAATCCAACAAACATTATAAAAGAAACACAGCTTAATCTGACAAATACAAAAAAAAATTAAAACTATATTACCATCTGCAAATACATAAGTTGCCTAGTGTTTAGCAGCAGAAATACTTAACAGGCATCTACCTGCCATCTTCATTGCTTCGATGAAATACAAGGAAAGGATCAGATTTCCCAAAAAAGTCCTTCTTGTCGAGTTTGTTTGCACAAAATTGCATTAAAACTGAATCCTGAAATGGGTAATACAGAAAAATTACATACAACATGCAGTTTACTACACTAAAATAAAATAAATTAAAAAAATAAATTGACTAATAACCATACAAATAGAAAACAAAATAAATGAAGGTATCTGCCTTCTAGATGCCCTCTACATATTCACATTCCTGCAATGTCCTTATAGTGCAGTTTGAACTGCTGAAACCACAAATTCCTTTGTAGGGGGGTGCAGAGGAAGGGTTAATTTCTATGCTAAATGCCTCAGGTTTTTTCCAGCGTTTTCTGACATCGAAAGTTCCATTCTGAGGGAAGTAGATGTGCAGGCAAGGAACGCATATTAGAATCAACTTTAAAACTCCAATGAGACACGACTAAGCCTCATTCCTTCAGTGACTTAAACTTGCAGTTGTCTGCTCTTGCTGTCTGTAAAACAAATGGCTTAGCAGCTCGCTCTTAAGAGTCTAGAAGCTTCTGGGAAATCAGCCTGGAAGATACCAAATACACCCATTCTGATAACAAAGAAGGAGAAAAGTTTCTTTGCTGTGGTCAGGCAAACTGATAGTCACACATGGTCACCTCTTTGGGCAGAGTCAAGAATGCAAGAAGGATTATAAAAGCAAAGATAAACCTGCAGGCTCACCAGCTAACTGGGGCAGGGCTGCTGGAAGACTCTTCCATAAATAAGTCAGGTGTAACAGCAGCAAGAGAAGAGTAGGGAAAATTTGGGCTCACCACTGAGTGCAGCAGGGGACCAGGTGACAAAGGACATGGAAAAGTCCATGTTTCTCATAGCCTTCCATGCCTTGGTCTTTACTGGTGAGATTTGCCTTCAAGAATCTTGGGCACCTGAGAAGGTCTGGAACAAGGATGACTTGCTTTTAGTAGAGGAGGACCAGGTAAGGAAACATTTAAACAGACTAGACATACAAAACTCCATGGGACCTGATAGGATGCACCTGTGAGCGCTGATGGAGTTGGCCAATGTCACTGTGAGGCCATGTTCGGTTATCTTTGGAAAGTCATGTTGTTCAGGAGAAGTTCCTGAGGAATGGGAGAAAGGAAATGTCACTCCTGCCTTTGAGAAAGGGCAAGGAAGAGGATCCAGGCCAGTCTTTCTTCAATCCCTGAGAAGGTGATAGAGCAAATAATCCTAGAAAACATTTCCAAACACATGAAAGACAAGAAGGTGGCTGAGAGTCATCAGCATGGATTTACAAAGGGGAAATTCATGCCTGATCAACCTGAAGCCTTCTCTCATGAAATGAGCAGCCACTCATTGGAGGAGTAGTCACTCGGTGGACGAGGGCAGACTAGTGATGTTGTTTCTCTTGACCTTAGCATGGCCTTAGACACTGTTTACCATAATATCCTTGTTCACAAACTGATGAATTACAGACTAGATAACTGGACAGTGAGGTGGACTGAAAACTGGCTGAACTGTTGGGCTTCAAAGGGTCATGATCAGTGACACAAAGTCCAGCTGCAGACCAGTCACTAGTGGTGTACCCCAGGTGTCAAAAGTGGGGTCATTCATTAATGACCTGGATGAGAGGACAGAATAGACCTTTAGCAAGTCTGCAAATGATACAAAGCTAGAAGTAGCAGCTTAACCATCAAATGGTTTTGCTGTCATTCAGAGGCACCTGTACAGGCTGGAAAACAACATGAATCTCACGGAGTTCAAGAGAGGGAAATGCCAAGAACTGCACCTGGAGGAGAATAACCCCATGCAACAGTACAGGCTGCAGGCAGAAAAAAAGGAGCTGGAAAGCAGCTTGCAGAAAAGGACTGGGGGGTCTTGGTGGACACCAAGTTGACCAATGTGCCCTTGGCAGCAAAGAAGGCCAATAGGCTGCATCAGGAAGAGTGCTGACAAAGTGGAAGAAAGTGACTCAGCACTGGTGAGGCCAGTCCTGGAATACTGCGTTCAGTTCTGGGCTCCCCAGCACAAGAAAGACATGGGCATAATGGAGCCATTCCAGCAAAAGAGTCGCTAAAATGATTAAGAGATTGGACTGTGTCTCATATGAGGAGAGGCTGAGAGAGCTGGAATTACATAGCCTGGAGAAGAGAAGGCTCAGGGGCATCTTATCAATTTGTATATATGCAAACAGGATGGAAGGGAGTAAACAGACTGCTTAGTGGTATCCAGTGGAAGAACAAGTGGTCAGAGGTACATATTGAAATACAGGAAATTCCATTTAAATACAAGAAGAAGCCTTTTTACTCTGAGTGTGGTGAAACACTGAAACAGAGACTGTGGAATCTCCTTTGACATACTGCAAACCTGATTGCACAGAGCCCTTGAGGGTTGGACTAGATGATCTCCCAAGGTGTCTTCCAACCGCAGCAATTCAATGATTCTAAAAATCTTTGCCATTCTGAATATGAGCTATAAAAGTTTGGCAAAAAATCCCAGAACAGATAAGAACTAATCCAAACACTGAATAACCTTAGGTAGAAAATATCACAGAAAAAGTATGTGACAGTGGTGAGACAGCGCAAGAGATTGTGTGAGAGAGCGTGCACATGAAAAAGCATGACCGAGAACGCAAAAGCATGCAAGAGGAAGAGATTGAGTCCCAAACTCTTTACAAGCTCCCTTCAGCGATTTTGAACTAGTCATCATATACGTAAAATTTGAGTGGGGTCAATCTGGAAGCATATGAAGGCCTTGCAAGACAGCTAGTATTTGTCTTCATTAAAAGGGAAAGAAAAAAACCCACCACAACCTGTTCTGATTATGGATTTAGAAACATATTTGTGATTTTTAAATAGTTTGTTACAACTGGGATATAAATGCTGGTCTTGGAGGATAAACTCAGAGTATCAGGAAAAAAATGCCTTTGGTCTCTTTCAAGGTTACCAGTAACTGCTTGGGGTGATGGCAAACCTCTTAAGAATGATAGGAGCTTAACTTCTTAAGAAATGTAGAAGCACAATTTCTGCAGGAAAGCAATTAAATGATGTACCCGTTTTGTCATCTGTTAGAAGTGCGAACGTTTTGATTGTGTACTATGTACAAAAGTTTGAGCTGATATAAAACACAGAAAAGACAGGCGTTTTCCATGACCATACATATTCATTCATACTAGTAGCATGGGAATTTCCTACTGCTAAATGGCAGTTAAATGAGACTGAGTTGGTGCACCCTATTAACATAACTGTGCAGGACCGGCAGGTTGTCTGCAAAACATAAATAATGAGCTCGTCTGCTATTCAAATATACCACTATACCACTTATGCAGAGAAGTAATACAAACTTGACTAAGCTGGAAATTAGGCACAAAATTAAGGATTTCTGTTTACTTCAATTATCTAATGAACTTAAGAAAATAAGGCCTAAACAGATTAGCTATCAGATATATTAATAAAAAGACAAACATGACTATTGCATAAATAAAAAAAAATAACCCCTTATGACGTGGTATAGAAGTCAGAAGTTATACAAAAGGTGAAGCATTACCTCCTCAACACCACTAAATTACAAAAACTAAGCCCCATAAATAATTCTCTTCAAGCCTCAAGGTATTTCTGTAGGTTTATCTATCTAATCTTGTACTCTCCAGATCCCCTGCACAGTCTCATCAAATGTCTGATACTATTGCCTTTCTTCATTTAAGATTTGCATTTGTCATTGGAAATTCTGCAGCCCCATCCAATATATACCATGCTTTGACAAACTGCGTCCCTCCTCAGATTCCAAGCAGCCTTTATCACCCCATATCTACAACCCTTCCTTATTCTTCCTTCCAAAAATACGGATTGCTGCTCGCTCACTCAGTGCTGGCCTGGCTGCCAGGTGCTTTCTGAGCAGTAAGCCTCCTCCTCTGTCCAATCCACTTCTCCATGAACCCTAGGAGGGGCAGGAGCAGTGACACTCTTGGGGAAGGTCATGACCACAACATGTCTCTCCCCTTAACTAGCCAAATTCCCCACTGCCTGCCCACCCCCCCTTCCGATATTCTTCTGTTTTCTATTCAATAAGTAGGCACATGCCATTAATAGGCCATGGAAGTCTTCACTTTCTCTAAAGAAAAATGTTTAAACTTTTCTTTTCTGGCAATTCTTTGAAATACCTTACTATATTTTTCCAGTAAATATTAATTTCACATTTTTTAAATAATATGACTCGCTATTAGCACAAAATCTTTTAATTATAAGGTTAAAATTCCAAAATTTTACTTTGATGTTCATGTAATGTCAATATTCCATAATGGAAATACAATTCCATGGCTGAAACAAATGGATCTTTGTTAAAAAGTGGATACTAAGAGATTAAAATGTGATTAATTACTTCGGGAAACAAAGACTAGATTTAAAACTCATCTAAAAATAATAATAATAAAATGGTTTGTATTGTTTTCTGTTTCTTTCTGCTTCTTCTACCTAAAAGAGTAACCGATAGGAAAAAAGTATCCTAACTTCTTACATATATCACAAAATGCAAATTTAGATATTACACCTTTGATGATCTGGTGCAGTGTATAACACAAAATCATTTTCATTTTATTTTTCAAAAAGCAATAAACACACACTTACTCGGCAACAGCCTAGTTCTTCTGCTGTTACTATAACTGTTCCACATTTCTTCCCAGGAATTCCTCTGCAAGAAAATACATCACCTCAGTTCCTTAATACCATTTATGAAAGTTACAGCTGGCACAGATAAGCACAACATAAGCTTTCAAGTCATAAAACTGACAGCATGCTATTGTTTCTTTCTTCTGACACTTGTCCTGTGTAGAAAAAGTTGGTTTATCCTAAGTGAATCCGTAAATGAGTTGCATATTTATTCTAAGTCACAAGAAACAAATCAGTTTCAATTTTAAAGGAAATAGCACAATAAGTTTAAATGGGATGAAATGACAATATCAGAATTCTATTTTCCACCCTCCCATTGATGTTTTATTTAGAGAGGACTCTACAACTTACGGATTTGTGAAAAGCATCCTTTTGCAATTTTTTTACGAAAAATGTAAAATATATTTAAAACTACACATTAGCCTTATTTTACAACATCTATTATTAAATGATTATGAAGACACATAATAATCTCACCATCAGATACAGTAGTTGCAAAATAAATTATAATTCACCCAGTAAATCAAAGCAATGCTGCTGCAACACCAGAAAGCACAAAATAGACCCTTAGTATAAAGAACAATATAGTAATGGAAAAGCCACACATAACCTGATAGTATTCAGTGCCAGCAGCCTTTTATGCGGGGACAGGGACAACACGTGTGTAGGAAGTACAAGTATTGAGATGCAACTTCTTGCATTAATGCTATAGTATAAGTGAGAAGTATCCTAATATCTATTAGCATGCCCATTAGCACACGCCTTGGCAATTACTTCTAGATTTTTTTTTCAAAACTAATGGTATTGCTTATGCTCATTTTATTTCTAGTTTTTTATTTCTTTATGTCTTTCTTGAAAATAATTATTTTAATAAAATTACTTTCCAAGAAGACATTAAGGTGAAATTATATTTTCAAATTGATTGTATTTTTTAGGTTTTTCTAAGAGAACTAGAGGGCACTCCAGTTCTTCCATTATGACAAAACATTAATGTAAACATTTACTGTTGTTCTTATTTCACTTATTATTTTCCTTAATCCTTTCAAAATTTTTGCAATGCTCTACAAACTTCAAATAAGTTTAGCAAGCCTGCGGTACAATAAAGAACTGGTGTGAAGTTCTTGGAAACAGATAAAAGTTTAGAAATTATGAAGAGAGGAGCAAATACTGACGCAAATTTATACAAGCTCACTGAAACTCTTGTTAAGAAGTTGCTGTTTAAGTATATAAGGAATACATCACTGAATGCTGCTCCTATACTACGGCAGTCATTTGCCACTAACCAGAACAATACAAGACTGCTTGCCTGGACCTCCTCAGTGCTACATGGTAAGCCTGAATTTCACAAGGAAAACAGTGGGTAGCGAAACTATTAAATTAATAGTTTTTGTTGTGAAATTTTAAATGATGATTTAAATACATACAATACTTACGGCACTCTTCCATTTAATGTGGTATGACTTATAAAGTACAATACTTTAAGACCAAACAGGAGAATTTTCTTCAAATAACAGAAAAAAAATAGAATCTGGTCATTCCAAATGTTACACAGTACAATTCAGTTTTATCAGCATCTTCAAATCATATGGTTTTAAATCTGTCACCCTTCAACAGCTCAAGACTGAAAATTACTCATTGTAGCCTCTCTAGCAATGGGATATTGAAATTGAAATCTCAGATTTTCAAAAGACAAAAAAGCTGTATTTTTTCTTTTGAACAGTACTTCTTGAAACTTCAAAAACTTCTAAAATTTGGTAGTAACAGCAGTAGTAGAAATTACTTCATTATCAGAGTGATATTGACTTTACACAGTAAAATGTTTCAAGGAACAAATGACCATGAGCTTGGCTTTGAGGGAGAAGGAAGAAACAAAACTGCAGCTAAAAACCCAGAAGTTCCCAGCACCACAATTCTGTACGTTATGCCAACTCAAATAGAAAGCACTAGTATCAGAATTACCATTACCTGAACCAAAATTCTTCCTACTTAAGTATTTGAGCCCAGTTAACTGTGCAATTAGGGACATATTTGAGACGTAGTCTGGAAAATGACAGTACTCTGAAGAAAACACATCAAATCTTTCTTTTCATATGAGAAGTCAAATGGATTTATCCCGTTTCCAAAAGATTGCTGTGTCAGATGCTAGATTGTGAAAAATACAACTCTGATTACCTCCTGAAAAGTTGGAGGCCTGAAGTAAACTGTTGATAAGCAAGTCCCATTTCATAGAATCACAGAATGGTTTAGGTTTGAAGGGACCTCAAAGCTCATCTAGTTCCACCCCCCTGCCATGATTTCTGACAAACTGGTCACCGAACAGTTGCCATTTGATAGAAAACTTTGTGCCACTCTGCCTGCAGTTATAATACATGGCAGGCAACGCCTGCCTGTCTCAAACTGAGATTTGCACATGAAGACATTTATAATGAAGACATGCTTCATTTCATCTTATGAAGGCCAAGGGTCACCCAACCCCAAGAGATACATGTGTCTGGAATTATCACTCTGAAGTATGGGGGAGACTGGAGAAGCAATACCCTAAAGATATTTGGGTGGGTATGTCAGGAAAAAAAGGAATTCTTGATTGTTGAGTAGATGTGAAAAGTACACACAGTTGTCCTTGGTTTTGGCTGGGATAGAGTTAATTTTCACAAGAAGCTGGGAAGGGACACAGCCAGGACAGCTGACCCAAACTAGCCAAAGGGGTATTCCATACCATATGATGTGATGCTCAGCATATGAAGGGGACTGGCCAGGGAGGAGGGGTCACTGCTTAGGGATGGGCTGGGCTGGGCATCCAGTTTCGAGGTGGTGAGAAAATTGCATTGTGTATCACCCACTTTGTATATTCTGTTATTCGTATTACTGTTGTTATTTTCCTCTCCCTTTGCTGTCCCAGTAAACTGTCCTTATCCCAACCCACGAGTTTTACCTTTTCCTTCCCATTCTCCCCACCATCCCACCAGAGGGTGCTTAGCTGCCAGCTGGGGCTAAACCACAACAACAGTATAATCATATCTGAAAATACTTGGGGTAAGGTTTGGCTTGATGTATCACCAAGGTTCTCAAAGACACACACCTTATAAAAGAAGGATAATATTACCATGATGGCTGGCAAAGAGGTGAAATCCTTAATTGAGATTTGCACAGAATTTCTCTATGGAACAAAAAGTTCTCATTATTCAGGAACTAAAAACTCTACCAATTGACCTCTATGGTTTGTGATGCTATTAAGTATGAACTTTGTATGCTTGTCTTGAGACTACAAGCACGAAAAAAGTACCGGACTACTTGCAGACACTAAACAGTTTGTTCTCTTACAAATTCCCTTACAAACCATTCATTACAAAAAAAAATCCTTAAGTGTAAAGTCAGCTCCCTGAAAAAATTGTCAGTGGTCACAGATCAGCCAAATGGAAGAACTTTAACTAGCAATAATGCCTTGTGAGAAAATAGAAAATAATTTCAAGCTAGTCTTATCACTGTATGAAAATACATTACTTAGAGATTCAGCATTACAGACCAGTCTTTACAGAACACCTGTAGGTGTTCTACCGTGATTACCTCTTTTTGGACAGTATTTGAGGGAGCAAATAATTTGACTGTTAGAGGAACTGAACAGCAAACCATCATCAAATGTGGACACATTTGATCCACTGAGTGGATCCACTGTGGACAGCGAGGTGAGTAGAGAACTGGCTGAATGGCAAAGCCTAGAGGGTTGTGATAAGCAGTGCAAAGTCTAGTCGGAGGCCTGTATCTAGTGGTATGCCCCAAGGGTCAGTTCTTGGCCTGGTCCTATTCAACATATTCATCAATGACCTGGATGAGGGGACAGAGTGTGCCCTCAGCAAATTCGCCGATGATACTAAGCTGGGAGGAGTGGCCGACACACAGGAAGGCTGCGCTGCCATTCAGCAAGACCTGGACAGACTAGAGAACTGGGCAAAGAAGAACCATATGAAATTCAATAAGGGCAAGTGTAGGGTCCTGCACCTAGGGAAGAACAACCCCAAGCACCAGTACAGGCTAGGGGTTGAACTGGTGGGAAGCAGTACTGCAGAGAAGGACCTGGGAGTCCTGGTGGGCAACAAGCCCTCCATGAGCCAGCAGGATGGCCAAATGGTATTCTGGGGTCCGTTAAGAAGACTGTGGCCAGCAGGGCAAGGGAGGTTATCCTCCCCCTCTACTTTGCCCTTCTGAGGCCACATCTGGAGTACTGTGTCCAGTTCTGAGCTTGACAGTTCAAGAAAGACAGGGAACTACTGGAGAGAGTCCAGCGGAGGGCTACGAGGATGACGAGGGGACTGGAGCATCTCTCTTACGAGGAAAGGCTGAGAGAGCTGAGTCTGTTTAGCCTGGAGAAGAGAAGATCTCATCAATGCTTATAAATATCTAAGGGGTGGATGTCAAGAGGATGGGGCTAGACTCTTTTCAGTGGTGCCCAGTGACAGGACAAGGGGCAATGGGCACAAACTGGAAGACAGGAAGTTCCATCTGAATACGAGGAAAAACTTCTTTACTCTGAGGGTGGCACAGCACTGGAACAGGCTGCCCAGAGAGGTTGTGGAGTCTCCTCTGGAGATATTCAAAACCCACCTGGACACCATCCTGTGCGACCTGCTCTAAGTGATCCTGCTTTAGCAGGGGGATTGGACTAGATGATCTCTAGAAGTCCCTCCCAACACCTGCCAATCCGTGAATCTGTGTAAATGAAAGGTCCTCAACAATACTGGCATGTTTCTAGGCAAGATGCAGTCTTGGGGAGTAATTATTATCTCCTTAGAACAAATGATTCCATGATTGAGACACTACATCTGCAGCACCTAGAGAAGTTTAAAAGCACACTCTGAAGACCACTTGGGCTTTAGCAAGGACTAAAAGGAGGACCTTTCCAGAGTTGGTGAAAAAGTCAGAGAAAGATGACAATTTATCTGGGAATTCAAACCTGAGAGGTTAAACAGAGCCTCCAATTTTGCAAACTGAAACTGCAACGAGGCAGAGGATAGAACATTTTTCAGA